CCAGCATAAATCTCTGCATGGATAAATAGTGGCATAGGTGGAATTAAACATAACAAGATAAAGACTAGACGAATTAATGCTCTAAAGAATTAGAGATGCTCATAAAACTTTATTTCATCTCCCCTCATTATATTCCTGATGCTCCTTAGAGTTTTCCAGAGGATTTTCACCCAGTACACATGACAGTGGTCCTTCAATCAGCAGCTCTTTGATGTTCTTCTGAGTTTTAGCTCATATTAGGTGACCCCAGGCCTCTCTGCCTGCAGAGTGCTCAAGCCCTCCACTGACTACAAAAACAACTATTTCCAGTAAGGTGTTTTTGCTGGCAGCGCTAAAAAAAAAACAAAACACCTAAACAAAGTAATCTAGCTGGAAACAACTTTTGACATTACAGCCAAAACTAACAGCTCAGCAAATTTAACATGCCTTGATGTGCTTTGGGAAATAAAAGACTCAGAAGGAAGATTTCCCCAGCTTTAGCTGGAAAACTTGAAGCCAGGGTAATAAAGTATGCTTCTAATAATGCTTCCTAAAGCAGTTCCTACTCTCAGGACTCTCACCTCAACCTATTTCTGATCTTGGATGAGAAGGAGATGTACACACACACAGGGCTATGACCTGATCATGCAAAGTCTCCCGTCTGGCTGAACAGAATGGAAGCTGTAGGACTTTCCAAGGACTTACCCACCTCACTGTATGGACAGTCATCCTTTCCCCATTCATGTCCTTGTATAATCTATTCTGCATTCCACTTCTATCCCTGCCTGTCATGGCAGACAGCCCTTAACCCCATGCAGTCACTCCATATGCGTTTCCACCCTATCATGTGAGTCAGCTGGAGCAGCACATAGGGTATAAGAAATCCAAGCTGCATTCTTCTTATTGCAGGGCCAAACCACATAACAGGCTACTCACCTGCACTGCGAAAGAGGAAACTCTGCTTCGTTCTTGAAGCCCCAGGCTGCACAAGCTCCGGACAAACTTCAGGGCAAACCTTTTCTTCTCATGGTGACAGCAGATCTGTAGAGCCGTCTGACTTGGCCAAAACCAAGGAGAGTCTGAAGAAATAAAAAGCCCAGATCAGCCAGAAAGCCTAATTTCAAGTACCTGTGAAAATAAAAATAAACCATGAAAGTGACGAACTTTCTCAACAATGTGTGTGTCAGGTTTTTTTTCCCCTTAAATAACTACAAAAGAATGCCTTTTCCCTGTATCACTCCTGAATCTGGTTAAACAACAATTTACTCATCCTTTCTCACACATACGTATATTCATATGCACAAAGAGCAGCCCAAACCAAAGGCCTGCAACTGAAAATTTCAGCCTGAACAGTTACATGTTGGCAAGCACATAGCATTGGAAAACAGAACCGTTTAATAGAAAATGTCTGGCAACCTTAATTATAGGCACCACTGCCAGCTCCACCAATAATTATAGCTTAGTTTCAGAATCATCCATGTGCTAACAAATATATTCAATGACAAGAGCATTTCCCAGTGGTATTCACCAGGAAAGACTTCCAGCCAGCTAGAAGACAGCCATGAGATGCAAGGATGACCTTACATTACTTGTTTGCCTCCAGGTACAGATCTTCTTCTGCCTAAGCCATAGATGAGCCTCATGGCTGCTTTGGTTTCCTTCCATCTCTATCCTCCCTCAGGCAGAGGGAGAACTCTATCTCAGTCTTACATATAAGACGATACCTTAGTCCCCTGTGACCACCAGCAAGCGAGTCTCTTGCATCTTTATGTAATCTGCAATGAATATGGTAAAGATAAGCAAAAGAGTCACTCTCTGCTCCACAGTTTCGCAGTGGAGCCAGGCAGGTTTACAACAGAGGTACTTCAGATGCAAAAAACTGTCCACACATGCACACATTTCAACAACCTTTTCAAGAACTTTGCTACTATCTGCATAACAACTGTTATCCCTCTGAAAGGCTCTGGCAGAGAGCATTACCCAGTGCTGAAATGGTTTTTGTCTTTCTCTCTACAGCTTTTTCAGCTGCCAGATGTCTCCAGATTCATGTGTAAAGTGTGGAGCTCTGCATTGAAAGTTAACACCATTGAGTTCAATGACTCTGGTCCAGGCTTTAACAGTCTCTGCTAGCCACACCATTCAGTGGCCTGCAGTCCGGAGGCCCTGGTGCACACAGCCACATAAATCAGTGAAGATGCTGTGGAGCTCCAGCCATCTATGAGAACCTCAAAGAGGATAACATCAAATGTTGAACATCTTCAAAGATTAACATCCTCCCAGCTGTAGATCAGTGACCAGGGCATGATTGTCACCTTCTCACCCTTTGCAGCTGGGAGCAGGTGTCCCATCCTTCAGCAGAGGGAAGCCTATGATAGGCAGCTGTAACACTGTTTACAGAGCTTTGTATAGTCAGTGCAGAAAATTGGTGTGGTTTAGGCACAAATGGGCTAAGCAGGCCTGCAACCACCTCTCCTGAGCACCTGGCACCTGGATGCCACTGGAATTTCTTTCTGGCTGCCCACTCAGCAGCTGGCAAGGCAGCTCTGCAAGGGGATAAAGAGAATATAAGCAGGGCTTGCCTGCCCATTGTCAGGTGCAAAGGACCTAAGGGAGCCCTCTTTTTTTTAGAAGCACTCAGGAGACTGGACCAGTATGAGGGAAGGCAAAGGATGTGTCCAAATGCCTGTAGAGAGATGCCATGGAATGCCCAGAAAAGCTTCATGTATGGAAACAGCATTTCAGAGGCAGGAAGTGTGTAAGCATTTTTCCATGCCTGTGAGCCTGTGCTGCAGAAGACATCTCTGCAAGTACTCAAAGGTGCTCCTTTGTATGCAGCTGAAGCCACTGTCACAACACATAAGTTCAATGCCAGCGCTATCTCAGGCACTGTGACTCACCCACCCTTTCTTAATCTGTAACAGCAGAAGGGACCTCAAAGGCTCCATACCTCCTGCCATCCTGGTACCCATTGATGTAGCAGAGGTCTTGTAGGTGGACAAAAATCTCTGAAGCATCCCCTGGGAGAAGACTGTAATTCAGGTTTCTTGCCATCCTATTCCCAGTTTGCATGATGCTGTGGTATGCAAATCAAACAAAAATGGCCCTGATTTCCAGGCACACTTTAAATTCAGTATCTCAGAAGCACTGCAATTAGGCTTAATGAAAGTTATGTTACTTTGATTAAATACAAGCTGAGGGCTGAAAGAGTGCTTCCTGAGCTTTATAGGGCTGCAAGCAATGAATTGTGTTGCCACCTAATTATTCTGTTTTACTGGAATCTCCAAAACAGAATGCAAGGCATATCTTTCACAGTGCTGGGGGAGGAGGACCCTAGCCTTTATAAGCTCTATCACAGCTCTGATTGCAAGGAAAATAGAGGGACCCAGGTCCAATCCCACTTCTGCCCATGCTGTCAAGCTCATGCATACCTCTGCCTGGTCTGCCAGGCCCTCAGCATATATACCGTAAAGCCACCAAGTCCTGCATCTAACTTCCCTGGGAAATGTACAGACTGCATAAATTGAGCCAAAAAGCTCCCCCAACAGGACAAATTTGTCTCCATGTGTGATGGAGTCCAGTGAGATGTCTGTACCATGCCACCAGCTTCCTGAAAGGGGACAATAAACCTCTACTGCTAGACCAAGGAGGTTTAGCAGCATATTCTCTCTTCTCTAATCTATATAGATTATTATATTACTTCTTACAGGGTTTTAGCCTTCTCCTTCAGCTCAAAGCAAGAGTAGGTTTGCTTGAACTTGGAAGGCTTGAGGAGTCCATCACTTGCTCTCGCTCTTGGTGGGCTCAAAGCAGCTCCCAGCTCCTGCCCAGGGGCCAGCAGCTCTTTTATGGGTTAATTACATCTGTGCATAGTGTCTCACTCTGGAAAGGACAATGGAACACACCTCCCTCAAAGCCCTAACTCAAAGATGGGGAAGGGTGAGCATCCCCACACACTGATATTACACCTTCATCTCAAGTAGGAGCTCTCTTGCGAAAGAGGAATCATAGAATCCCAGACTGGTTTGTGTTGAAAGGGACCTTAAAGCTCATCCAGTTCCAACACCTTGTCACGGGCAGGGACAACTTTCACTAGACCAGATTGCACCAAGCCCCGTCCAACCTGGGGACACTGCCAGGGATGGGGCAGCCACAGCTTCTCTGGGCAATCTGTTCCAAAACCTCAAAAGAAATGCCACTTCCTCCTACTGAGCTTCTCTTCTCAGGAGGCTGCATAGGAGGAAAAGCCACACCATTATTACTCCCATAACCAGTTATGGTTACCAACATAGTTTTCTGTACCCACTCACAGTCCAAACCCATCTGCTTCAGATCCTGGGGAGAACATTTCATTGTGGGAAGGACCATGTTCAGCGTGGGAAGGACCATGTTCAGCATGGCAAGAAAAGCCTCCTAAGGAAACTGCTTGGAATAAAAGACACTAGAGAATAGGTTCCAGGCACAACCCAGGCTCACTCGGTGACTTTGTGCAAGTCATTCAATTCTTCTGTGTCCACACCAAAGAACCCGGTGCTATCTTTAAATACAGTCCTGGGGTACATAAGAGCTGGAGTCTTTTCTGCATTCTTACAGCCCTTAGAACAATGCAGACTGACTCTGTTGTCCCTGTCATCTGAAAAACAACTTATCCTGGTCATGGAAGATGATAGAAACAGTTCTTCAAAAGGGCATTCAAAGGCTGAATCATCCTGAATTAACCAGTCATTTATTTTAACGCAGATGCAGTTACTTGTTTTTCCATGCAAGAAATCTACTGCATGTTGCCGAGTTCCAACCTTAGCTTTTAAGGTACATTAAAGTTTTTACCTGTCCATGGGGAATGTGTCTCCAGGCACGAGTATCCAGCTTAAAGCTTGCCTAAAGCCCAGCAAGAGAGGTTTCTCAGCATCCTGCTTAGGAAGGTTTCAGTCCTTCAGTAAAGATGAGTACTCTTCCCGTCTTATTTATTCAGACTCTGGAGCAAGGAGAGGGAAGAAGGGGATTGGTTTGGGGTTTTAACAGCCTGTAATACCTTCACATGTCCTTTCCAGATTCAAGTATGTGGGAGTCTTTATTCATCTACTGCCAATAGTTCAATCCTCAGAATGCCAAATCAAAACAATGACACAAAATGCCACCCTAAAATCACACTATACTATTCTGAATTGCCAAGTGCAAGGGTGAAAAGTGTAAAGTGATCCAGAGCTAGGTGTCAAGCTCTGCCACAATAGAATTCAAAATAATTGTGCTGTTGTTTGACAGGTAGTAAAATTCATGGTGGTCCATTAAATCAATGGCAATATCATGTGGGACACTGCAGATTAAAAAAAAAAAAAAAGCCGGAGAGTTCACAAAGGGAAGCCATTGGCAAGAAACCCTTTGGAGCTCCTAATAGGTTTGATTTGTTGCAGGAAAGGCGGATACCTGCAAGTCAGAATAGAGGGGAATATAAGAAGAGAGAAACAGAAGAAGGAAAGCAAAATAAATGTGAAAGAGGAGACAAGTGAGGGGAAAATGTGAATGAAAGAATTGTAAAGAACATACTAACAAGTTGCTATTGTGTACACATGCCTTGGTCTTACCACCTTTCACACCTCATTGCACTGGTGCTCATTTTGTCACACAGCCAAGAATTCCTTACTTATAGATGTGGTCTTGTGGATGTAGTCTTCCCTGGCTGTCAGGAAAAGACCTATTGATAAAGTTCAGAAAGTGAAATCTGTGTTCACTCTCTTAAGCAGGATTTATCCCAAACGCAGGAAACCCCTTCAATTTTATAAAAAGAACTTGCCTCAAAGCAAGTCAGGCTGAGGCACAATGAGTATACAAGTGGCACTGGAAGAGTATGACTTCCCACAGTTGGGTGTATTATCTTTTCCTGTCTGGAAATCAAGTTTTAAATCCAGATAAGGAGCCCAGGGTGCTTGGTGTTCATACTCTCAGGACCAGTCAAGGATTTCAGCCCACTTGCATCATACATATTTTAAAATGCAATGGGTGCATCTTTCACCTAGGAATTCCAGTGGGCCTAGAATCTGGTAAATAATTTTGCATTAAATCACAGTGTCTTCATGAAATTATCCTTAGAGGTTTCAAGGAAACGGGTATGCCAAAAGTGTTTGTGAAGATGAGCACAGGCTTGTGTCTGAATACATTACAACAAAATGAGTGGGAGACGAGCCAGGAGAAGCCTGTGCTGTCAATAAGGGTCACAGAGATTCACCTCCCATGTATAGCAATAGGAGCTCCGCCTTCTTAAGACACCCTGAGCCTGTTCCATAGCAGCGGTTGAACAGGAGAGAACCTTTCAGAAAGCCATTTAGCTGTGAATTAAAAGGCAAGCAGTCATGATGGATTCACTGCTCTTCATGAGGGGCTGTTCCAGTAGTTAATTGCTCTCACTGTCAGCATCTTATTTTCCTTTGGAATTTATCACACTTATGTCCAATCAAATGCTCATGTCTATCAACACTCTGCTATAAGAGTTTGGTGAGAAGTGATGAGTCTATTAGAGGAAAGATCCCTTCAGTACCAGATGCAGGTGTTGACATTGAGATACCTACAGTCAAATCACCCTCTAAAGCTTTCTTTGGGTAGCCTGAATATGCACATCTGTGTGTAGATATTTGCTGAACCCCGCTTTTTTGGTGCATTTGTGCTCCCCACTCAGTGTGTGAAGACCAGAACTGAATATTGCCTTTCAATAACGATCTTACGAGCTCCATTAGCAGAGTTAATCTCTTACTTGCTTCAAATTACTATGCCAGTTTGTGCCCCAGTACAACAAAAGGAAAGACAGACGCTTGTTTACACCACCATAAAAATCTCTTCAAATTCACTGCTTCCCAGGATATATCTAAATGATTAGCTCAGTGCTTCCCAAGTCTTTTGTTCAACTATTTGCCATGTAGGAACAAGTTTATCTTTGTCTTGTCAAATAAAACTTACAGCTTTTTAGCCTTCGCTCAAGCTCTCCCCAAAGCTGAAACACTTGTTTCAGTGAAGTTTTCAACATTTCAAAATTCATTCCAATTCTGCCTCAGAACAAGCTCCATCCTTGTTGGGTTAAATCCTTAATGTAAAACGATTGCTCAGTGGTTTTTTGCTAATATATTAAGAACAGTTGGTATTTTATTTTGTCCTTAAACCCTGAAATTCTGCTGGGATTTTTGCAGCTTAACTGAAAAGCCCTAATACAGTTACAGAAAGCTGCTTGGTTTTCCTTCTCAATTTAACACATACCTGCAGAACGGAAACCCACTCAATCATACCTGCTTATTAAAGCCTCTTCATTCCAAGGGTAACCACAGTCTTAGAGTTCATCCACTTAACACAAATTGGGCCAGCTGTTGGGGCAGCCCTAACTTCTCTGGGCAACCTGTTCCAATGTCTCACTACACTCATAGTGAAGAATTCCCTACAGATGAACCTTAAACCCTTTTAAAGTTATAACTAGCTTACCTCCAAGAAGATCTCAACCCAGCAGATACTTTGTCCTTCCACACACCTCCCACCTATATGCTTGAAACATCAGAAATCCTATCAAATCCCCACTCCACTTCTGCCCAAGGGCTGTCAAGATTGGATGGCTCACATAAATCTGAGCTAACTTTTTCATCTCTCCTGTCTCATTTTGAAGTACCCATCTCAAATTCCTTCAGCTGAGGTTCCTTGTTTTCCTCACTTTACAGGCCTGCAAAACTCACTATAAGAAAAGTTATTTAACACTTAACATTACTCCCAAATTGAGATATTTCTAATAAATACTCTTGGAATACATTACCCAGCTTCCTCAAAAATACCTGTCTGCTCCAATTTCTTTTAGTCATTAATGGAAACAAAAATTTAGAGTTTCTAACTTGTCAAAAAGTAAGTTCAGAAGCATTTTCAGAAAAGAGTTTTTCTCCTACAGTTGTTCAATCAGGACAAACAAGAAAAGACAGATGAATAGAAAAAGGATGTTAAGTATTTTAGAATTGATAAGCAGATGTAGAATGCATAGCTTTTTATACTCTTAAAATCAGTGGAATAACCCACCTGGCAAAGTAGAAGGCATACAGAAACATGTATGGATCAAGGCATTAAAGACAACAAAACATGAACCAAACAGCTGTAGTAGTTGAGTGTGTGAAGAGCCACTTGGCAGTTACATACTGGGAGTATGCTGTGCCACCCCTGAACTAAAGCAGAAATTTAACTGTTCAAAGAATTTTGAAGAGACTTAACACTCTGGATTATAAAGTACATCCACTTTTGCCTTTAAAGACAACATTTTCAGGCATGCTTAATTATATCATGTTTAAAAGTCAACAACACTTGAAGTTACATTCTACAACAAAAAAATTAGGAATTTAGCAAATGAATGTGTGTGCTGTCCTTTGGATCCCACTGCAGAGAATTACTTTGGCTTTAAACACTGCTGTTGTCAGCTGAGAATCTGTCATTTCCTAGTGGTGTCCTTTAGCCACCTATAAAATACAATTCATACAATAAACCCAGGTATTGCAGTGGTAATTAAAATCCAAAAGCAATTAGCCTTTTGTTTATTTCACTTGGGAATCTGACCAAAACCTAAATGAGAACACAAAAAAGGGGGGGGGGGGGGGGCGTGTGGGGGAAAGAAAGCTCTCCAGCTTAGGCATGGTCCCAGATGTCTGAACGATGTCCTAATTAAGCTGTACTACAACATCAGGCAGCCCACATATATATGTATATATGTATGCTTGTGTGTGTGCAGTCTTTATTATGGACTGTACAGTCCTGTGTCCTGGGTTCAGCAGTAGCAGTCATGTTTCTCCTCATGGTAGCTGGTGCAGTGCTGTGTTTTGAGTTCCAGCCTGCGAACAGTGTCGGTGATACCGATGTTTTCGGTTGTGGCTAAGTGATGTTTACCCGGGGGGAGGGGGCGGGGGGGGCTCGATTGCTGTCAGCCCGGCACCACTCACTGGGAGTGTGTGAACAAGCTCTCTGGCTAGGGTTTAAACCACGACAGTTCTTTTTGGTGGCCAACGTGGGGCACAAGGGGTTGAGATAACAAAAGATTTGACCAGATGAATAGTCACTTGTCACAATGATGATTTATTGGCTCTCAAGGTTGTTCCTCTTGATCTCACAGTTTCAGTATATCGTACCTTACTTCCATCCAGTATTTGCTGTATTAGTGTTTTTCAGGTGTGGGGCTTGGGCTAAGGTTTTTGTCTCATTGTACTTTATGGTAATGACTTGTAATACAATAGAATCATTGATCATGAAACTGATCTGGCTTATGTTCCCAGTGTGGTCAACACCTTTATACTTTGGGAGGTATATGATGGAGGTGCTTAGCAATTACACATCTTTTTTCTCTTTCTCAGGTGCTCAACCTATGAAGGAGACATCCTTTTACCCACCCAGTCCTCTACCCAGACCATTTACATTTGAGAGTTTTGAATTTTTTGAATGGCCTTTTAATGCTGTTGAGACTTGTTTGCTGATCGTGATGGGGATCACCATGCTGGCACGCATACAGAGTGTGTTTTGCCCACGACTGATTTCAAGAGTTAAGCAGAGTCAGGTTTGGGTCTTGTCTGGGGTCAAACGACAATGTAGGAGGACCAAGAGATGAAATGGTTCATAAACTTCGAGAGTTCAAAGACCATCTCACCCCTTCCATCATCTCAGCTGTGGAAAAACTATCCCAGGACCTCATACAATTGAGGGACGATCTATCTGATTTATCCAGCTCCTCACGTGTACCAACACATGTCTCGGCTATTAACAAAAGGCATCCTATTGTTCGAGAGAGGAGATACAGGAGGTATACGCCACGGGGTACTCTATGGTTTTACCTGTGGGATCACAGAGAAGACATGACAAAGTGGGATGGAAAACCTACTTCAGCTTTGGAGGAACGGGTGAGTGAATTGAAGAGGGGAGCAAGGGCCAAGACTGATTGTCCCATGAGAGCTACGGCTTCAGTCTGGTGAGCAGTTTCCCAGATGGAGTGGAAGAGCTGATTTTACTCCAGCTCCTGTGATAACGAAGA